GGGGCAAATGTTTTAAGGCACAAATCGAAAGAAATATTGGAAAAGGCCAACCCGAAAAGAATTGACAGGGATCTAGAGATACCAAAAATATTTAATGGGTATTTTGGGCGAGAAGTTAAGGAATGATAACAACAAAAACCCTAGGACTTGGAGCACCAAAATGTGTTAGAGAATTCAGTTTTATTTTACGGAAGGAACTTTTCAATTCTATGAATGCAGCCATCAATGGGATCTATATGCTTTGCAGTTTATGCTTAACTTTTGGAAAATATTAAGATATCAAAATCAAATTGTTTCTTTTAAAAACGGAAAAAATCTAAATAAATTCGTTTCTTGTGTCTTTAGTAAATCTTCAATTAAGATATTCATTAATTGGGTAAACAAGACTCAACGGAATCAGAAGTAGTTTTGCCGTCTTTAGAATGGTTTGAATTAAAATCAACTGGTGGGCATTAAAACACTCTCTCAATTTACATACTTTCCACTTGAAGCAGTTCGTATCCTCCCCCGTACCTGAGGTTCAACGTTTTTATGGCCCTGCGCCTCTAAATTGCCTGCAACTGCTGTTTATCATTCAACAATAAAAGCGGATCAAAATCAATCGACAAAAACCAACGGAAAAACCACGTAACACCCGTCTAAACGTAGTTCTGAGCGAAGAACAATAGACAGAAAAATCCCGAGAGAATAAAACAGCAAGAAAAAGTGATACAAGTCGAGGATTAAGACGTGAGGATGCCCTGTACTTTACTATATTATTTTAGCTGGAGCACTAAGGTCTTTAGGTCGCTTCTTATGCTATTATTTGATTTTCTGTTGTTTTTTACATTTTTTAACGTAATAGCTAAATCGTAATCATCAGATTCATATCATTAGATTCAAGACAGATTTCTACAGATAAACTACTTTTAATTAAATTTCTTATTGATAAAGTAGGCAAATGCTTTGAAGAGCATACTTCTACTACCCTTCTACTGAAACGAGTATCCTGTGGAAAAAAGAAATGGCCAAGAAGTGCGTAAGGTAAAAGGCAAGAAGCCCCTGAAAATGTTTATGACCCCGCAAGGGTCACTTAAAACGCATGTTTAGCCCAGGCCCTCTCCACCCTCGCCCACACAGGCAGTACAAGCCCAAGAATTCGCTACTGGAATGGGATTGGATTCGTTTCGGTTTTGATACGGGAGGGATGGGTATGGCTATGGGTATGGGACATCCTTTTCGCACGGCTTGGCTTTAACTGCAGATGCGACTGGCGGGCGGCTCGACTTGCATTTTAATAGACTGTTGACTGTTGACGACGCTGTTTGCCGTGTGTCTGGGAAAGAATGAAAAAAGGAACAGGCCAGCAGACAGAGAGTTACAGCCGAAAAAATAGTTTAATGAATCGAATTATTTTGTTACAAAATTATTAAAAGATTTTTGTTTTCGAATTTTAGATTTCATTGGGAATTTTGGGGATTATTTTGTTGTACAATTTTAAGCCTTATTGTTTTTAGAATTATGCAATAAATTTAGCAATTTGTTGTCGACCCATGGTGCTGGGGGTGGACTGCAACTGCAGTCGAAAAACTTTTCTTGAACAGGAATATTTGTTATGTCAGGAATAAAATCTTTTAAAGTCAGGGATTTGGTTCAATCGGTGATTTGGCTAAGAGTCAAGTGATTTTTCGTTAGTCAGGTGATTTTTTTTTCCGTCAGGTATTTGTGTCCGTAGCTGGGAATTTTATCCATTATTTGGATTTTTGCATAAGGGAAGCGCCCATTTGATTCTTCCAAAATTGCCACCTACTCCAATTGGATAGATTCATCAAACTTGATTTCTTCTCTTCGGCCTCGGTCAGGGCTTGCTCCTTGAGGGCCTGTTCCTCTTGTGCCAGACGCTGCATCTGTTCAGCTTCCTTGATTGATGTTAGCGACTTTGAGGTAAGCAGACGCCCCTCCAACATGTCCAAATATCGAGAGAACTCTTGGGGCTGCGACAAGTTGCGGAAGAGTTTGGACATCTCTAGATTGATCTGCTTGGTCTCATTGGTCACACTAGTGTAGGTACTCGCTATGTGCTCGGGTAGCTGAATAATGAACAGGAAGCTTTTTTTGACGCCCCGATTGTAGACGTCAGCAGCATTCAAGTTGGGATCGTCCTCTGAGGCCATCCACTTGATCATAGAACCGACTGACTCACTCATGGACTTGAGAAGCCGTTCGGAGTCCTCTGCACTGCCCCAGACACCAAAATAATTGGTGAGGTAGACTGTCATTGAGACGGCAGCAACACGGTCCACCACACTTTTAAACATCTTCAACCAAACAAACAAAAAACTAACCAATACAACATCAATGAAATTAATTAGTTCAAGGTAAAATGAAATGAATTTTTAACATGTGAAGGTGATAAACCTTGGAAATTTTACGCAAGTGCAATCCAAACAGAATACAACGAATAAGAGTTCGTAGAGAAAAGAAAGCGAAACGTTTCTTTGGAATAAAACTGTAAAGAACTGTCCGCTCTTTATTTCTCTGAACACTTACCATCTATCGTTGATGAATACTATAAAAAAAAACAAGAAGAGAGAGCAAAACGATGCTTTTGGAACAAGCGAAGGAGTAAAAATTATATAAGCTAATAAAGGAGAGAATTTATCTGAATAAACTCTAAGCCACAAACACAGCTAAATCAGAAGCTGCTTTGTTAAAAAAAAAACACAAAAGTGTTTCGCCTTGTTTTTAGTTGTTTTTCACAAATTTAGTCGTACTGAAAGCGAATATCCACCAATTTAGGAACTAGAGGGTAGTTAATTGTTAGCTACTTAATCGACATCCTCAACCAAATGGAATTTGCTCAATCTCTGAGTTTTGTTACAATAAATCATCTCTACCGATAACACGAAATGTAATTCATATTGTGCAAAAGGCTATTAATATTATAATAGTGATAGAAGATTCCAAAACATGTACAAAAATACATAAAACGAGAAGGGACGTGTGAGACGCTTCTTACGCGTCACAGCTTTTATACCCGGCACTCAGTACTACATTTGTACCTTAGCGGTTATTTGTCAAATTTTACATTTTTCCTACATCTACATCTTCTTCTACATCTACAACACTTCTCACACCAACACGCTCCTTTAGCTAGACCCCCTTCCCTAGACCCACACACTGCAGACTCGCGGCGAAGGCAGTGGCCGCACACAGCAGAAACAGAGTTTGAATGAGAGAATTCGAAAAAAAAAACAAATAAAAGCTGCGGGACGGGGTGGGTTTAGCCACTGCATTTTAATTTCTTCATTCTGGCTATAATAATGGTTCAATCGGATCCCAATTTGGTGATCTGATAGATATTTTATCTTTAAAATTTTAGATTTGGGAGGTTTTCGACCTTTTGCGGGAGCGGAAGGGTTCTCATTTTTTAAATACACTTTTAACAGTGCGAGCATAGAGAAGTCTGGATGCAACATTTGGTGCCTCTAGCTTTTATGGTCTCTGAGATCCAGGCTTTCAACAAGACGGACGGACAGACGGACACACGGACGGACAGACAGAAATGGCTCAATCGACTCGGCTATTGATGCTGATCAAGAATATACATACTTTATGGGGTCGGAAACATTTCCTTTCGTGCGTTACATACATTCACTTTGTGCACAATTACAATATACCCTATTTATTCTTCGAGTACCGGGTATAAATATCATTTAATTTCCAAGGTGGCTGCTTTAATTACAATGGCATGGCAGGACGAGTTTGGTATCTGTTATAGTCCCGAATAAAATTCAAGAACATATCAGGCATCATGGGCAGTGAGTTCCTTAGCCAAGCAACAGATTAAATACCGCAAGGAATACTTTGTCGGTGGTTTACAGTTTTGGATTAAAGCTGTGGAAACACGTCCTGTAGTATCGTACCACTTTTTATGATAATTCGTTATACATATGTATGTATCTCATTTTCAAAGATTTATCTCGCTTTCTATCTCAAGTTATTTAAAGCCTTTTGGACCGTTAAAGATGAGTGCACTCTCTTGCGGGTTAGAAAGTGCTTAAAACTTCGTGTCCTTTTTTCGTGCAGGGGTTTTGGGTGGTGTGTTGTAAGCGCCCCAACCCCACCAGCAGCCCCAAAAAACCAGTGAGTAAAAATCTAATCCATTACTCAAACCAGAAAACTGAAAAAAATAATGGTATTGCCCACGAAATGGGAAGTGTGGCAGGGGCGGGGTGAGATGGTTTCCTGCAGAGGCGTAAATCTTTTGTAACATTTTTCGGGAAGGCTCAACCCCGCCCAGATCCCCAAACATTCCACATGTGTGAGCGGTGTGTGTGGTATGTGTGTTTGGGGTTGGGGAGCTACGTGAATGGAAATAAAACTGCAATTTGTTCGACCAGTTGAATGTCATTCAGGCAAGGGTCAAAGGCGCGACGAATCTTTCGGTCGTGTTTGAAGGAACTTTGACATATCCCCACATGAAGGAGCCATCACAAGGATACTTTCTTTGTTCGTTGGTTTGTTCTTCTCCACACTACTCGGTTCTTTTTTTAATTTGCACAACTTTTGACCCAAATTCATTTGTCACACAATGAAGGGGCGGCCAAGCAGCAAAGGGACCTCACGGCCTCGCGCCCTGCCAACTTTTTCTATAAATAAATAATCTAGTGGACCAAAGGTGGAGCAAGAGTCAGAGTACCGGTCCAGCAGAGTCCTCTGCATTCCATTTACAGCGAGATGAAGAGGGGTAGGGATAGTGAGAGAGAGTCATAAAGTCTCAGATAGATGGCTGCTGGGTTTTTTGGTCCTGAAAATGTAATGTTTTCTCTGGGGCCAAAGGAAACGAGTGCACACGTATAATGCTGAAATTACACACTATCCATGAAGGTGTGCTGTCTCCATTGTACACCGAATCAACTTGGAGCCTGTAGCAGCAAAATCACTTGGCATATACTTTTTGGATAGATCTAGTGTGCCTTCAGTATTTGACATTTCTCTATGCTTTAGAAATAATTGTATCTTAGTCATTCCGTCACCATTGACTCCCAGTTTGGGAAAACAAAATAATTTTAAATCGGAAACTTTTTGTTGCGATTCATTCATATAAAGAATTGAAATATGAGGGTGCTACGGGAGGAGATGGTTTTGGACAAGGCTAAGACCTCTGCTCTGGAGCGTGTTGTGAACATTAATTTTGTCAATTGTGACTTGACGGATGTGTCGGTAATCCAGCGCATGTCCAAATTGGAGATAGCTTCACTCTCAGTTAATGGGATCACATCGTTGGAGGTATTCGCTGCCTGCCCCAAGCTGAAGCAGCTATATCTGCGTGCAAATAAGATAGAGGACATCAATGAAGTGGAGCATCTGAAGAACCTGCTGGACCTAAAGGTTCTGGCCTTGGAGGCTAACCCCTGTGTGGAGCGTGCTGGTCCAGGGTAAGTACTGTACACCAGGTAGCGAGGTCGCTCTAACGAGTGGTCTTTCCTTAACGAGTGGCATATACTTTTTAAAGAGTGGTCTCAATGAATAGTGGCATTCCTTAACGAGTAGCCTAACTGACCTTTACGATTTACCTTCTCACAACGAGTGGTCTTCCTTAAGCAGTGTTCTTTAACGAATTATCTTCCCTTAACGACACGTCTTAATTCAACATTCCTTTAACGAATTCTTCCTTCCCTTAACAAGTGGCATTTTCCCTCAAGGAGCTGTTTCCCCTAACGAGTTGTCTCTCTTCGCAGGTACCGCGGCATACTGCTGCGCTCACTGCCTACGCTTACGAAAATTGATCGCATTGATGTAACTCAGGAGGAGATTACAAATGCATTGTGTAACAGCGATCTTCCTGACATGTGTGACGAATATGCTGAAGAACCTTTGAATCCCGTTAATCCACAGGCCCAGTCAGCTCAACAGACGCAACGCAGCTTGAGTCCTCAGATGGAGGAACAGTTGGTGCAGGTGTCACCGCGTCCTCGCACGCCATTCGCAGCAGCCGGACACAAGGAGCCGGAACTATCACTACCAGGGACTCCCTTGCAGGGATCTCGACTTGAGAAATCCCGTAGTCGCTCTCCGTCTGACTCTTACGCTGGCAGAAGCGTATCCCGAGAGGATTATTGTGATATAGGCCCAGCACGCGATTACAGCTTTCAGTCTTTGGACTTTCGTCAAGCCTTCTCAGATTGCCAAGAGTGGGGCTTCAGCGGTCTATCTCTGGATCAGCAGGAGCAGCAGATGCAACTACAGTTTCAGATGCGCAGCCAGATGCGCAGCCAGATGCAACATCCGTTGGGGTATCGCCCGAATGGCAATGGACAACTGGAGACGGTGCCGGATTATTCGCAACGTCACTGTCAGCGACGTGGACAGAGGACTGTCGCCAGTGCCACAGGGAAACCACCACAATGGCAGACAGATGAAAGCGATTAGTAAGCCAGTGTCCCTTTTTGACCGAAGATATCTGAATGACTAACTCCCTATCTCTCCACAGCGTGCAATACTTGATGAACTATCCATTGGGTGGGCGCAGAATGCTTCGTGAAAACCCCGTGCACAATAATATTCTATCAGCCATGTTGTCTTTGCTGCAGGAACTCGATCTAGCGGCTGTCCAGGAGCTGGACAATGCAATCAGTAAGCGCTTGAGGGAACTCACGCGCTATTAAAATACCCACAAGATCAATCACAGCACTGATACACGACACACACGACACTGCCAGCATAGGCAGCGAGTGCGTCACGTGCAGTTGTTATAACCTCAAAGTTGGCTATAACAAGGAAGACACTCTAACAAGTTGTGAGATTCTGTGAGATTCGATCATTCCTGGTTCTAAATAGTGATCAAAATCTAGTAAAAATTAATAAAATGTTCAATGGAAAAATCGAAATATGCAGAGCTGCTGAGTATCTTTAGGGGAACTTCCATTAGCATGAGCAACCTTTTTTGAGGGGCTGCCACCTGGCTAATGAGGCAGCTTTGTGTGCCACAACTATTTTGAGTGTCCGAATTTTTAATTTTACCTTAAAAGCCGGAAATTAAATCGAGATTTGCGTGCCACAGACAGCCAGGCATTTGCATATTTCGTACAAAAATCGAGCGATATTGAGAGTGAGAGTCCTAACTCTCATTTAGGGCAGCATTCTGGTCTGGTTTTTGTGGTCATTCATTCTCATTCCCGTTTCGACTTGACATTTTGACCATGAAAATTAAAATATGTTACTGGTTTCTGTTTTTTTAGTGGCCAGGCTGGTGGGGTCCACCAGCGGCCACCAGGCCCAAGCCCTGGCATCAATGTGTTTGTGGATTTGTAAAAAGCGCAAGTGTAATTAGTGTGAGGCTTAACGGGGCTAAACAAACAGACAGGTCGTGTGCCGGGTCAGGCCCAGACATAGACACAGGCACGGAGTCAGACCGTAACGAAAATGAAACGCAACAAAAAACCTAACAAAAACTCGGACCAGTTCGGTCTGGAATTTGTCCCCTTTTGTTTTTTATACCCGGTACTCGCAGAGTAAATAGGGTATATTGTATTTGTGCACGAAGTAAATGTATTAACGCACAGAAGGAAACGTTTCCGACCCCATAAAGTATATATATTCTTGATCAGCATCAATAGCCGAGTCGATTGAGCCATGTCTGTCTGTCCGTCCGTCTGTACGTCCGTCTTGTTGAGCGCCTGGATCTCAGAGACTATAAAAACTAGAGCCACCAAATTTTGCATCCAGACTACTGTATGCTCACACTGTTACAAGTGTATTTAAAAAATGAGCCACTCCCCCTTCCGCCCCCGCAAAAGGGCGAAAACCTCCCAAATCTACAACTTTTATGATAAAAGAAAACTAAAAACGCCATTGCGTAGGGAATGACCATATCTATCAGATCACCAAATTGGGATCTGATTGGATCATTATTATAGCCACAATGAAGAAATTAATTTCCATCCTGTCCCACAGCTTTTGTTGTTCTTTTCACATTATCTCATTCACACTCTGCTTCTGCTTCACTCGGCCTCTGCCTCTGCCGTCCCTATACCTTTGCCTCTGCAGACCCATCCCGTCTCGCAGCTTAAATTTGTGTTTTTTTTTTGTGTGCGGGCGCTGCCTCTGCCTCTGCCGCGAGTCTGCAGTGTGTGGGTCTAGGGAAGGGAAGCGAGCTAAATGAGCGTGTTGTTGTGAGAAGTGTTGTAGATGTAGATGACAGATGAGGAAAATATGTAAAATTTGACATATAACCGCTAAGGTACAGATGTAGTACTGAGTGCCGGGTATAAAAGTTGTGACGCGTAAGAAGCGTCTCACACGTCCCTTCTCGTTCTATTTGTATTTTTTGTTTCTTTTTTCGACTAGGCTTTACAACTATTGCCTAATTGCATTTGAATAGTCGCCGCATTTGGGCGTTTTGTTTGTTTGTATCTCGGTTTTGGTTTTGCGTTTTGCGTTTGGGTTTTTGATGTCGATGACTGCAACTGCGAATGCAACTGTCTATGGCTGATAAATCGCTAGAGCATTATTTATGAACTCCTCGGTGTCACTCTGGCCTGGTTTTTGGCCTGGCTAGTCGCGTTTTCCTATGTATTTTATGCATAGTTAATTTTTATGACTGCCACAGCGGCACCCTCTGACGTATGCGTGATATGCTCTCAGACTCTGTCTCAATCTCTGACTCTGATTCCAACTCTGACTTTTGTTTGGACTATTATTTAGTGTCCCGAACACAGCACAAAACAGCAATCAGAGAAGCCAACTGTTAACGGCCTTGGCCAAATGCTTGGGGCGAAACGCTGGAAAAATTATGATACGCATAAAAAGTTACAGTTTATGAGGAGCAAGAAATGATTCGACAATTTGGAGGGAAGACATTGTACATATTTGTGGCATGGGAATGTGTGTGGAAAGTGTGCAGGTGCGAAGACATCTTTAATTGACTGTTGACAGAGAGAATAGAGAATTCACCATTAGAATATTACTAGTTATGTTGAGACTCAACTTAGTCTCTCTTGGTTTTTGCCATATCTAATGGGAAGAACTGACAAAATTGTGGAAGATCGCTGTCTGTCTGCTCCTAATATTCGTCTAAAATAAATCGAAACGATAAATCTGTATAGGAGATACTTTTCGTTTTGAAATTAAAATAAAGACCCATGAAGCTGAATGATGCTCCATTTCAATCACAATAAATGCCGAAATGTATGTTGATCTTATGCACACTGATTCAATATTTTGTTGTCAATCCATATGGAAATGAATAGACAGAAGCAAAACGTTTCTTCGGCAAAATGCTGCAAAATGGGAAACAATTCCGTTTGATCATCCATCAAAACCTGCCAAGGACAGTCAAAATGTTAGGTTTAAGTCTTTTGGTGAACTTTAAATTGAATTAATTTATGTCTCAACATTTAATTTCAATTGAAGTGCGGCAACGGCGCTTGGTTGCGCCTCTTTTAATTGCGCTGTAGGATGCGCTCTCTCGGCAGTCATAAAAAACACATTCATCAGGCATCTCTTTAAGCGATTGTCATTAATGATGATGATGATAATGATGTTGCTGTCGATGCGGAATCGGGTGGGTGGATTCCATGAGAAATACTCGCATATGTCTGTTGGATGGGGGAACATCTTGTTTATGGCTCTGCGTCTCTCCTCTGTTTCGATGCCAAAAACTTCCGGCCATCGTGGGGGAATGGGGAGAACAGCTGTTGTTCTCTATGAAGCACCTCCATCGAGCGTCTGGGGGTACGCGAACCAACCAAATGTGGCCTTGATGCCTAAACGCAAAAGAAACAGAAACAATGAAGCTTCAAATTGCATGTTAATATCTGCCTGCCTTCTTCTCTACCGCTGCTGAAATAGTAACAAGTGCCACCGAGAAGAAGCCACAAAGAAGGACCGAGGATGGTTTTTTAGGTGGGGAAGTTCATGCATGTGCATGGTATCTGTGTGTGTGTGTGAGTGGTGGCAAAATGGGGACGTTGTCCGGGTAGCAAAGTCTTTTGATTTATGCGGAGCAATTAATTTTTTGCGCATTTTTGTTGGTGCTGCAGCTTCTCCTGCTATATGTTGCCATGGGGAAGCTGCTGCTGCTGACGATTCCGACACTGACACGGGACACACGAACACGGACATGAAACTATGTAGAAAGGCGACAAAAGCCTGCCCCAGGCACAGTGCCACTAGTGGTCCACACTCGAGTATTCCCTTGCAGAGGGTATCATAATAGGGGAAAAAAATAATGCAATTGTTTTAAGAAAATCTGTATCTAAATTTTAGTATACTGATAAAAGAAATTGGGAGGAAACGGAATCAATGAGGTTTTTCCCGTTTTCCCATCTCTTTTCGCTGTCTTAATTTTTGATAAGCGAATAACTCCAAGCTAAAGTAATTCTTTAAAGAACTTTCAGAATATGTATGATACAAATAATGAGAGAAAGAAGCAACCGAAAAGCAAACTTAAAACCGGAAACCTAGGACCAAAAATCATCATGTTTTAAGTCACATTTTTTTACATATATTTGAAGTAAATATTCCTCAGCTAACGCTTAGCAAGGGAATTTGCAGACAATTATGAATATAGAAAAACTGGGAAAGAGACAGCTATGGCCCCTTCAGCAAGCAAGAAGAATTTACGATGCCCAAATCTGAGGACACTTTGACGGAAATTTTATTTTTGTTGCATAATTTAATTGAGTTTTTGCGATATATTTTATGTTCTTGATGTTGCAGAGATCCATACCACTACTCGACAAAATCGAAGTTTTTTTTCCTCAAGGAACCAACCCGACCTTTTCTGATAGATTTCGGGCATTAAAATTGCCTAATGAATTATGGTCTCTTAACAATTTTTGTTTTTCTATGGCAAAACTCTTTTCTGAAGAATTTTTAAAATCGGGTTTTATTTTAAGTGTCCTAAGTTATGTGAAAAAACGGCTACCTTCGAAAGTGGGTTTGGCTCCTTGAGGAAAAATCATGTCGGGAAGAGTAGTAGGATCCCTGAACGGTACTCGCATCCTCGTTACATTTTTATACCCGGTACTCGAAGTGTAAATAGGGTATATTGTATTTGTGCACAAAGTGAATGTATGTAACACACAGAAGGAATCGTTTCCGACCCCATAAAGGATATATATTCTTGATCAGCATCAATATCCGAGTCGATTGAGCCATGTCTGTCTGTCCGTCCGTCTGTCCGTCTGTACGTCCGTCTTGTTGAGCGCCTGGATCTCAGAGACTATAAAAACTAGAGCCACCAAATGTTGCATCAAGACTACTCACACTGTTAAAAGTGTATTTAAAAAATGAGCCACTCCCCCTTCCGCCCCCGCAAAAGGGCGAAAACTTCCCAAATCTACAATTTTGAAGATAAAAGAAAACTAAAAACCCCATTCCGTATGGAATGGACATATCTATCAGATCACCAAATGGGATCCGATTGGATCATTATCATAGCGAGAATGATGAAATTAAATTGCAGTGGCTAAACCCATCCTGTCCCACAGCTTTTGTTGTTCTTTTCACATTATCTCATTCACACTCTGCTTCTGCTTCACTCGGCCTCTGCCTCTGCCGTCCCTCTGCCTTTGCCTCTGCAGACCCATCCCGTCCCGCAGCTTAAATTTGTGTTTTTTTTTTGTGTGCGGGCGCTGCCTCTGCCTTTGCAGTGTGTGGGTCTAGGGAAGGGCGGCGAGCTAAAGGAGCGTGTTGGTGTGAGAAGTGTTGTAGATGTAGATGACAGATGAAGAAAAAATTTAAAGTTTGACAAAACACCGCTTAGGTGCAGATGTAGTACTGAGTGCCGGGTATAAAAGTTGTGGCGCGTAAGAAGCGTCTCACACGTCCCTTCTCGTTTTTGCTGTTTTCAT